CTGTTTCCTGGAACAAACGGAAAGAAAAGGTGAATGCAATTTCCTGTTTGTTAATTCATATACATGTACAGTAAGTACATAAAACTACCTATGATGCATGTGTTTCAGGGGAAACTAGTGATTAGGCAAGGGCTGTTAAGTGTTGCCAGCCGGGAAGTGCAAAGAACCGGGAACAATTTTCTCATGAGCTTATTACCTGGAATCGTGACATGATTCGCCGCGATAAAGGCAGGTGTACATGTACTGTACATGTGTACATGTACATGTGCATTTCTTGCATGTTTTGTCGATCACTTCCAAAGTTCCTGTAAATGTGTTAGTAGAATCACCCCCTGTCAAGTGATCGCTCAAAGTTGGATCTACATCATTGTACATGGGTACATTGTAAAGCTGGGCAATTTTCCTCCCAAGACAGATCCTTTACGGGGTACTCTTCTTTTTCTTCTGATCCCAAAAGAATTTCTTTTTCCTGCAGCACTTTGTTACAGAAATGCAGGTGTGTATTGCACTGGTAAAACTGAACAAAAGTGTGGGTTCAATTTTTGGACGGGTTTCTTTTTGGACTGCCTGTATCCATAATTCAACCATGTACCGTAGGAGGTATCCATGCAGAAGAAATACCGGTTTTCCATGAAATTTGGCAACGCACAGTGTTTTTAAATTAGTCAGGTTAACTACATGTACATGTTAGTGCAGTTCAAAAACATGTGTGTACATGTGTGTGCCTATTCATGTATGATACATGTAAATGGGAGAGGGTTGCGGACCACATCCACAAACATGTGTAGATCTATGTACATGTACAGTGTACATGCACCACTATTTCCCTACATGTACATGTACTACACATGTACCAGTATGTAGCATACATGTAGATGCACATACATGTTAACCCTAACCCCCCAAGGGTTGCTAGCCCTAACCTTCCCCATTCACACAAACAATGACAAAGGTACACACCCATATGGGACTTTGTGCGCAGAGGCTGTTGGACTTTGTTTTCCTGAGGTATGCCAAACCCAATGCAAAAGCCAGCTGTTATGGGCCTACCAGACCTATCCCCCCAAAATTAGACACTTCACTGCTGTTTAACTCTGTGTGGTTGTGGAAGGTTAGGGTTAAAGTACAGTAAAGTACATGAAAATGTACGTGTACATGTACTGATGATAAACAGAGATTAAAGAAGTTTTCTTGTTTTTCGTTGTCTGTTGCAAACACAAGCCCTTTGACACCATTTCCTACAAAAAAGCTACCTGCTTGAGACATATTCCAGTACAACTGGAAATTTAAGGTCCAGTTTTGTCCAGTTTCTGTTACCAGTCCATCTGGTGCATGGTTTCTTAAGTTTCAAAATTTGTTAATTTTCCAAGAGCGAATGCAAATTAACTGCCGAACAAAAGTACAGGACATACTTGTATAGCTTGATATCTCTTGTCAAATTTTGCAGGTCAGGTGTAGCATGGACAGAAAAAGTCACGTGTTGGACCCACAATTAATAGAATGGCTCAACTACACATGATGGGTACCGGTATGCAGTTAAGGAACGTATATCGGTAATTTGGGGGTAGGGAGTAAATGGATGTCAAATATCCCTTGTGTGCGTGACTCCTTACAGAGAATTTTCTAACCAACGATGAGAAGTGAAAGCTATCCCATCCCAATCAAAACTTAGATGGATACTTCTCTGACATTAAAACAATACTGTGATGTTCCATGCCACATTGAAACGTTATGACGATCACCATGGTTACAGATCCTACTGCCCGCGTGCAGGACGCCAGCTGGCAGTATCATATAACACTGCACAGATATACGGTACCAGTACTCTGCATGAGTCAGTGACATCAGACTGCGCACATCTCTTAATAAGTTCGCTGACGATTGGCGTCACGTACTACATGTGGACGTTTGTGGAGGCAGCATTTGGGCCGAGATGCCTGGGCATTCATTTTACTTGTATCCTCAGCGCGCCGCCTGGGCACGTCAACACTTCAGGGGCAGGAGACGTCAGAGGACGTCATGTCATGTTAGACATGCACACATTCGCAGCCAGTGAGTGCGTACAAATGAGATGGTCAAACTCTGTGAATGTATAGGGCACGTCACGGCCCGTCCACAGTCGTACCAAGAGTGCGAAAGTACATGTATCATTGGCATAGGAGGGTAACAGGAAGAGAAATGAGCTTGGTTGTAAATGGGTCACATTTCTGCCCGTTTTGAACATTTGTTCCGTGATCTAATGTGTTTTAAACACAGTTTTACATCAATTTAATCGTATGAAATCCTCATGCGAACATGCAAAAGAAAACAAAGTACAAAGAAAGTTTATGTTTCAAAACACAGCTACTTAAATTTCCTCCAAGTCCATAAAAAAATCCTTTGAAGTCTTGCAGCCCTTCTCTCCGTGGAACTGACCCGGGGGACAACAAAATTCGGCACAAACAGGCCACGCCGCACAAGCGTACGTCATGCATCAACACAAAAACAAGTGTGCAAAGACCATGGGGAAATAAGCCTGCGTGGAGACGCACATCATGGGTGCCCTCGCTGTGTTTCACTTTCACACCTTTGGGAAAGCCAACATAATAAGGTTCTGGCTAGCTCTTGTATGGACGTCACGTACATATAATGCACGCTCTGGCTTTCTGACGTACATGTAGAGGCCTAGACTTTCCCCATGATGGCCCGTAACACTCTCACAAAATGTGATATCCCCCTTGTCCCATTCCGCTTGGGCTCACGCAATCCGCGTCCCCCGTCCCGGCAAACAAACATGCAGTCGTGAACAGAATGAGTCAATTCGTTTTCTACGATTCATGTACATGTACTTTCCCACAATTTTAAAAAAATAAAACAAAATGAAACGAAATTTTAAAAATAGAGAACAATAATGAAAAGGTAAACGGTAACTCGGATGAACATCCTGACTGCCTGGTGTACCAGTACAACAGGTGCCATGACAAGCAGTATCACTTGAATATGCGTCAATTCCCAAATGTTTCACAGACATTTATGTACATGTACACACTGTATGTAGATAAACCATGCATGTGCCCATACAAATATATGGCACATGAACAATGCACATGTGAAAAAAAGCTCAAATGTACATGTACTGCCATATGTGTACGACAGTAGTGTAGAGTACATGTGTGGATAAATGTACATGTACACTGTACACTAGACAGGCCTCCAACACAAAAACATGAAGCAGTGTACATTTGTACCAGCAGGTACCTGGTTGCACATGTTCATGGGAGCAGTGATTTTGAATAGCACTGCTGTCACCAAATCAATCTGTATGGCCTAACATTCCACTCGAGGAAGCTGGCACATGTCTGTAATGTAAGGTACAATGTAGGTAACTGCCATTGAAGGGAGGGGTCTTTGTGCTTTCATAACCCCACACACCATAATTCAACCTGGAAAGCTTCACTGGCAGACTGAATGGGCCATGGGTTGGACCATTGTGCTCCACTTATCCCATTGTTAAGGCACTGTCTGGCCCTGCTTTAGTGAAGCCCTTTTGGGGAGTTGATCTAGCTTTTGGTACCAGTGCTTTCTTCCACAAAAAATACAGGCATTGCCAAGGAAACGTAGCTGTGGGTAGCCTGACTTGACCTCGGCAAGGCAGTTGCAGTTTAAACTAACGCATAACCGTAGCTAGAAAAAATCAATAGTGAAATGTGAGTTGTGAATGGTACATGTACAGTGTACATGCACTATGAATAGACTACAGGAAAAACAGTCTTCCAAGTCTGCTTGGGTCTAAGCTACGGACATACATGTATGCAGCAAGGTATGAGACGGAGAGAACCCCCCCTGCTTTGTGTTGGTCATTGTCTCGCAGGAATCTGGGGAATTCCTTTCAGACATCTTGGGGGGATGTGTTAAGTAACAACAGTCTGGAATGTGTATGGGGATTGGACATGTTGGGGGGGTACCCCTCGGTTTCATTTCTTGCTGGGTACAGCTACGGAAGCAAATTACATTGTAGGTCCTGCCAAGGCACTTCGTTCAGTGTTTCACAGCTGGAAATTAAATTGTGTCTTCTAATTACAAAAATGGGTGAAAGACTGATCAGCGCACATTATCACGTGTTCTACATGTACATTTACTGCTGCATGACGCTGTTCAAAATCGGGACTTTGTAAGGTTGAAGTTTCGTTTTTACTATTAATCTATCCACCCCAGGCTGAAGTGCTCCCTCATCAGCAAACGAAAGACAGATGGTACCGAGTTTTCCAACCAGGTCCTTGCACGCGTTCAGCGTGCACGAGAAGATCATATACTATATGCAGGACTAATTTCGTTGCACGTACTGAGCGTGCTCTGCGTCAAATGCGCATAAACTTGCATGCCTATGCGGTGAGTGCATACCAAATGATGGTCAATTTCATTTCAAAGCATGCCCTCTTTTGTTCCTGCTTGGAGTGGATTAAATGTGGCAGGAGCAGGGGGCCTTGTGAATACAGTGGCCTGGTGGTCTGTGCTTGCGATTCCTGATTAGGTGGTGGGGGGGTCGAATCCAGCAGCTGGCCCTATGCTGTGTCCTTGGGCAATCCACCTCATGCCAAATTGCCTCTTTGCACCAAGGATGATACTTGTGCAAATGTACAATGTAACTGGGCACCTGTATTATGTAAGGAATAACCAGCCATCAAATAGCATCCCATCCTGACAGACTAGAACTTTTTTGGGTTATTTTGTGACAAGGAAAGTGGAGATCAACACTGAGCCTGATTAGCCATACAGGTACCAGCTTGAGATAGACCTTTTCTCTCCACAGTCATCGTGTAATGCAAAAACCTAAACAACAACCTGAAATCCTGACCCACAAAATGTCCAAGAACGGATAATTCCTGCTGTATCTCCAGCTGGTGTATAAAATGCACCGCTGTTGAGTCTGGTCAGTATCAAACAGGTCTTACTTTCTGAGATGGACGGGATTTTGTCCAATAGGTCTACAGTAAGGTGCAGGGAGAACAGACCTGTCTTACCTCTTCTGTAAAGGCATTTTTTGTCGTCTGCTAGACTGCCGTCAGCCCCTCTCTCTGCTTTGGTCGACCGTCTGATGTCCCTCAGTATACCGAGGATGTCTGTGTGCGGCAGCACAGGGCCCGAGTCTACGGGGACTTCAAAGACTGCAAGAGGGGAATCAGAAGGCAAATAGAAACGAGTCAAAGATAAGCTGCTGACCTGGGTTAATCACACCCTGCTGCCCTTCATCTTACAAGATCTTTGGAGGGCGAGAAATGGGGCATTCTTTGCGCTTTCAATTCAGATATTCAATTAAATACATGGGTAGTTGAATGTATTATGAACTTTCTCACTGATAAATGTTGAAGTGGAAATTTCACTACACACCTAATGTATCAGTTACAGCACTTTGGGAAATTGGTGGGGGGGCTCTGCATTTTTACATGTAGGGGCACAACCAAAAGAAGTAATTAACAACGATATTTGAAACCCTCCACCGGTCTTGAGAGGAAACAGGACTCTCTCAAGGAGTTACCACACTTTTATAGCCAGATCCCGAGGGGTGTGAAAATGTGAACAACAGCCATAATTAAAGGTGCTTCTTGTGAGCTTTGACAAACACAAAAACCGTCTTATAAATGCTGGTACCAATGTAAGTGTACCAGTGCATCTTCACATTATTAAAGTCAGCTAGGTACAATGGAAGACTCGTGAATCAAGACAGTGTGACAGCTATCGGTTACCAGTACATGTATAGTGCATGTGCATGTTTGTAAAATGTTGCAGATAAAGAGGTGGGCTATATAGATGTACATGTATGTTCACCAAAGCAAAATTTACTGCCTTCTAGAGATTCAATTGCAGGGGCTGACTAGTGCACGCAGGTACATGAACATGTACCTACATGTACCTACACTATACAATGTACATGTGCATATACAGTATTCTCATAATCTCAAGGCCCCTCAGCTACACTGCACATTAGCATACTCAATGCACATGGGCCAACACACCTTTGAGGCCCCACGCTTCAACTGACACTAACAATAAAACTGTGCAAGCAACACACATGTTGGACTAAACTCATTCTTCACAGCTGCGCCCCAAAAAATCGGGCGTGGGACAGCCCAGTTCTTAGGGAATTCCCCTCCCCCACCCCGAGATGTGAGATGGTCCGAGAAAGCCGCCTATTTCAAGGCTAACAAACACGCTGAGTCTGGTCATATTTATGATAGACAGTCTAATGCCCAAGTAATCAAATCTGTCGTGCATCTCCCAGACCACATAAGCGGCTAGCAACTGGCGAGAGTAAGCTGTAAATGAAACTGGTGTGGACAGCAGCAGTCTCCTTCATTTCACAGCTGAAAGATTCTCCTTTTAAATCTGTCAGGTAAAATAAGGAGAAACAATTATCTCCGATCCTGTCTCCCCCCTCATAAAATGAGTCATAGATCATGCACGTGGGGGTCATACATATGAAAGTCTGGATCCTTTGTGGAAATCAAGGTATGTACATGTCCATGCACACGTACAATCGAGATTCAAACACAAAGCCTAAGCCATACGGCTAACACTCACTACCACACAGGTACAGCGTAGTGTATGTGTACTTTCTGAGGGGCCATCGTGAACAAAATTTCAAACAAGACCTGCCTAAAAATTTTGTTATGTTAGTACTGTACCAGTACTAGTACTAGACAATACAGAATTTATTTCAGGCCTTTTTGAATATACTTGCGTTTGTTTCAGGGGCTAGAATTTTGGCAAAATTTGTTCGACCACCTAAAACATATCAGTACCCAGGGGAAACTCTGACGTACATGTACGTTGCCTTAATCCTTAAAAATCCTAGGGCAATTCCTGTCATTGCATTGTGGCAGGCACATGATACATCCTAGAGCAGTGCCGATGATTTCAAAGATACTGTACATGTACCACTATGTACCATACATGTATAATCCAGGCCTGAATATACACGTACATGTACACCTAAATGACACGAGGTCTATCGCAAGACCTTGAGACCATAATGCATCCTTTGCCATCGGCCACATCTTTTTTGCCATTCAGGCTCAATCCCCTAATGTCCTCCACAAACCGCCCAGAGGGTTTAGGAATTAATGGGATTAATGGGCTGGGATTAATAATTAACTTTAATTTCCCCTTTCTAGTGAGCATTCACCCGACTGGGCAAAATCAATCATATTTACTCCATTCTTAAACTTTTATTTTTCTACATATACCTGTCCATGCGTGTACTTGTGCGTGCATGCGCATTAATTTTTTAACATAATTGTGGCATACACGTAATGCCTCTTTTGTGCAAATCCATGTACAGTGTACAATGAACAACGTGATCATAAATTGATGGCGTCCCCACTACATTTTAACTATTGATCTGCTATCCATATTGGAGCAGCTTGAACGATATGCACATTATAATGCTCTGAATCCATACAACACAAGAGGTACAGAGACGCGTACATGTACTGTGTGTGGCCATGCAGTACCGTACATCCAGCCAAAAGCCCCTCTCCTGTGAAATACGCCTATTCATACTCTGCCCGCCTCCACGTTTAATCCCAAGGGTTCGCAAGTTGCATCAACGGCCCGCCTCGGTGAAGGGGGCGACTGACAGAAGTGCATTCACCGGGAGGTAATCACTGGCTAATGTTCCCCCTGCAAACTGTACATGAACCTGTATAGATCTAGCCACTACGGTTGTAGGGACGAGAAATATGGGATGCCAGCTGTTTTCAGGGGCTGGATGGCTGAGCCAGTGTAAATGTACCGCACCCCGGTAGTTAACGTAACTGCAAGAAGGCACTGTGCAGGCGTGCAGACCAACTGAGTCCATGAACACTTGTGAATATTTTAAATAAACAAAGAGTATCCAATTACATACATTTCAGTGTTTTTTAAGCCCTTTCTCAACATCAAAACTTTACACTGCCACAATTGCAAATAACAATGGAGCTAAATGTTCTCGTACCGTGGGCTGGCAGGTAAGGGGTGTGCATTTACAAGTATTTTTGGAACCGGGTACCGATTTTATGTCAATGCCAGGTATCCCGATACCCTTTGGATATAAAGAACACTTAACAAATGGCATTGTGTGTAAGTACCCGGCCTGATATATCGATGGGTGGGTATATGTACCGTACCAGGGTACCCAGCACAGGCAGGCAGGCTTCAATTTTAGCCCAAATGCTGGCCAGAGATTTAGAATGCTGGCTAACACCGGTGGCAGCCAGTGCCATCTAGCATTGGTAGCTACCAATACAACCCTGCTATCCACCCCAATGGGCCGCGAGCTTAACCAAGAGAGGACGGTACCAGTATTTTCCAAAGCAACAGAGGCTCCTTTGGCATTGAACTGTACTTCATTGGTTCACGAACGACTACAAAATGCACACGTCACAGTTGCATCACTACGGCCACATGAAAGCTCCGACCAACACGGCTCTTTTCAACCGATGAGGGGGTGATTCTGTTCGAGGCGGACACCCTCTCCAACCTGACCAGGATTCTTCCCCATATCTTCCTATGCCCTCCGAAATGCAATAGATCAGCAGAACATTATTTGCACTTCAAGCTACCGACAGCCAGGTTTACTTGGACCACATCACAACCGGACATGAGGGCAGAATCCGGAAGGCTCTGCCTTGGAAAACAAACGTATTGTGACAATATTGAAGTAATTGCCCAGGAAGAGGATAATGGATTCTCAGAATCTCAGTAATAAAATTGCAGTTTCTGCCATGTACACGTAGCGGTACATACAACATCACTGCTCTGGCTGTTGACGACACATTCAAGACGTAAAAGCCAGAGAGACCCTGTAACACAATCCAATGTCCAAAAAAAAAACTTGAACATTAACACAAGGAATGGGTCATAAAGGTAGAGACATTCAATTTCGCAGGCCATTTGTATGTCAAGTGCCAGGTGCACTGAACAATACTGTTCATCTCATTTCATTTCCTTACATGCCATTCACGATCAAATGGTTTTGTTTTAATATCGGTATATACCAAAGTGACTGGGGAATGGTTTGGTAGTCAACTAATCCACCAAAACAACCCTCCATTAATTTCTGAGAAATATGGAAGGGCTGCGTAGCACCGTGATCAGAATATTGACAAGAATATAATATCAAATCACAATGCACATGGCCCAACCTACGTAAAAATATACATTGATGCTGGGGCATTTAAAACAAGCAAAGTTTTAGAATCCACTTTTTCTCCAAAATCCAGGAATGCTGAAAGGAAAAAAAAATGTCACAGGCATCATTTACAATCAAAATGAACACCAGATTCCATCAATAAAAAACATCAAACTTCTAAAAGGGGCAGTTCCATTTGAAAGTTTGGGAAAATCTGTAAACGGATTTGAAGCCTTTTTTTTTGTTAAAACGTGTCAACATCCCACCCTTAGAAGCCATCATCATACCGGTTGACGTCCAGCATGCACTCTGTACGTGTATGCTCCCACAGCAGCCTGCTGTCGGTCACCAGCTTCAAACTACCGTTACATGTAGGGTAGAAACAAGATCTTGGCTGTTCTGACAGTGACTGTGTCATGGCGAACAGTAAAAACTGGGAAACAATTGGGCCTCCAAAAAAAAAAAAAAATGTAGCAGAAATTCCAAACCTCCGGTGGGAAAAAACAGCACCAAAAAGGCAAATACTTCAACACAGTACTTCACAAAACTCATGATCACACCGCGGCGCCGGTTTGAGTGAGGCCTAAATGTTGTAACGAATTAGGGTTTACTTGGAATACATTATTGGAAGGGGTTTGACCGTGAGCACGCCATGAAGAACACACGCCAAGCACCAACTTTTAAAAACATTAAGTTCCAAGTTTTGTGTACAGATCCAAAAACACTTTGGTTTGTATGTATGCTCCAAGTAAATCACACAGCAGGGTACACTTTCCTTTCTCTGGCAATGCTTTTAAGACCAGGTAGTCTGTTTACCGCACACCGCCGTCATGGTCTTGTTTTCCTGTCTACGGCTAATAGCCTCAGCAGCAACAACAAGAGCAGTTTGTCACTGACGTCTCCAACTCATCATTAACAACGTCAAGTCCATCGTTTCCTTCTTTTCCCAGGTTCTCTGTCTGGCAAAGCAGCCTCTAGAGGTGCTCCGATCAATAA